AGACTGCTCTGATAGAGGGGACACTATGTGGAGAGACTGCTCTGATAGAGGGGACACTATGTGGAGAGACTGCTCTGATAGAGGGGACACTATGTGGAGAGACTGCTCTGATAGAGGGGACACTATGTGGAGAGACTGCTCTGATAGAGGGGACGCTATGTGGAGAGACTGCTCTGATAGAGGGGGTGCTATGTGCAGAGACTGCTCTGATAGAGGGGACGCTATGTGGAGAGACTGCTCTGATAGAGGGGACGCTATGTGCAGAGATTTCATGTGAAGAGTTGTGTTAGTGAGATTGCTATGTACAGAACCCGTCCTGTTAGAGAGATTGCTATGTACAGAACCCGTCCTGTTAGAGAGATTGCTATGTACAGAACCCGTCCTGTTAGAGAGATTGCTATGTACAGAACCCGTCCTGTTAGAGAGATTGCTAAGCGGGGGGAATACCCTGTGAGAGTGATCGCCACATTTAGAGATTGCTCTTTTCAGTCACTTGCAGATCGGTGGGAGGTGACCTGAGCTTACCGCACAGATACATTGCCGCGTGTGCTCTGCAGCCCCTCCATGTGACCAGTGAGCTCCGGGGGTGGGACCGGGTCTCTGGTTGGGGTAGGGACAGGTCACCGCTCTGTAGAGTTCTCAGGACCGATGATGACATGACTCGCTGGGTAGAGTTGGCTCATCTCAATATGCAACCCATATTTGGGGCCCCCGGACCCCCTTCCACTGTGACTGTTGAAGTTCTCCCGGCGGGGTTGGCCTGACACCGTGTTGCGATCAAGAGGATTCCAAATGGCGGTTCGCAGAGCTCCATCCTTCAGTGTTCCGAGTGTCTATGATCCCTTTCTGAGACTTTCCTCAATCGGCCAAAGTCAACCATCCTCCATGTCAGTGCTGCTCATCGTCCCTAGGGGGGGGGAGGGGGGGGGGGCATTGGCCTGTCTCTGGGTACACTCATCTCAATGTTGTCATAGTGACGTTTGATTGATGTCCTCCATTTTCCAGACCTCCAGCATCTGCAGGACGGCGGTACACGCCGGGGCCCTAAAGGACGAGGTTGGCGGGTACGTGGACGTCATGCCTGTGGACAGGAAGAACCATTATTTGGGCTCCAATAAAAACGGGATTCATTCAGAAAGGTAAAG